TTAGATACTATATTAGTCAAGCTATTCCCTCTGTGATTATCACAGGAAGACATGTCTCCGTTCTTGTATGTGGGGATAATCAGTGACTTACACCAACCCGATGGGACTTCTTCTGATTCCCAGACGCTGACTAGTACCTCAGTTAATGCAGACAGTAAACTGTCTCCACCGTACTTAAATACCTCTGGAGTCATTCCATCAGGTCCCGCTGCTTTGCCTAGTTTCAGATTGGTGACAGCTTTAGTAACCTCAGTTAAGGTTGTGGATGGAGGACGTGTGTCTATATCCCATTCAGGGTGGTGTTGGATGTTCGGCAGGTTGAGCGTAGCTGTGGGCCAATTTAACTCCTCTTCATAGTGCTCTTTCCAGCGTTCCAGTTGTCTATCCTGGGAGCTAATTATGGTAATTGATGCATAATGATAATGATATGCATAATAGGGATTCCTGTTATTCTGGATACATGTAATTCAATACATAATATAATTGAAATCGTCATTATTATTATTATTATTTTATCGCACTCATAAGGGATTGTGTACCTCAGTTAAATGACCACAGGAATAATAACAATAACAATATGCTCTGTGAATTTAATCCATTATTGTTATTGTTATGGTCGGTTTTATCAGTGGAATGCCTGCATATCGGATTATCTGATCTCTTTTTATGACTAACCCCCCCTACCTACCCTTTTCTACCTCTCTTCATTAGTAATTAGCTATTTTGAACGGTGTGCTTCTCCTTATTCTTTCACCCTCCCCCTTCTCTCTGTCTCTCTTCGTAGCCCTCTTTCTTTCTTTCTTTCTTTTAAACCGTGTAATTGAGTGTTTCAATTAGTTCGTTTAGTCATTAAGACTATTTTCTTAATATGGGGGGGTGTATGATTAAAAGGGGAATAAATGGAAATCAAAATACATTTACAAATACATATAATTAAGGCGGTAGGTTAATCTAATAATCAAGAGTGTTGGTTTGTTTAGGAATTTGACCACGGATTGATATCAGCTAGAGAACCATTGAAAACCAACTAAGAGTACTGGACAGCTGTCTCCTAGATCCCAGTTTGGGAATAATCGGCAGTACACACCCACTGCGAACCAACTCTTGAAAATTAATCTGATGTTCGCTAGTGACTTGCTACAGGATGGATGGATGGATGGAGTTTCCTGGAGTCATGACCAGTGAGGTGTTCAATCAGTCAAGTATGTGAGGATGGATTTCCCACTGATGACATTGGTTGGTGCCAGTCGTGCTAAATGCATCACGAATTGGTAGAAGTTAGAATTCATGCGCACTTGCCATTGAATCGGGCTGGTCCCAGTGACTGAATGATATACGAGCCAGCTTGCCTTGTAACTAGGAGGTCCTGGGTTCGAACCCCGTGGTGTGGGTGGGTACTGCCGATAATTCGCAAACTAGGGGCATGAAACATCTGACTGTCCAGTACTCCCTGTGGCTGGTTTTCAATGGTTTAATGATTTAATACTCACTAATCACTAGCTATAGTGAGAAGTAGTCGTGATCACCGACTGGTCACCACCAAGTCGCACAGGGGATGGTGGCTATATATGCATTGCAAATTGCCAGAAGTTAAAATTTATTGGCTTGTTAATCATTTCCGTACCACTGGCTAGTTGGAATGGTCAACAAGATTGGCTTTTTTTAACACGAAGGTTTTAGGGTTCGATTCCTGACAGTCAGTTTTTGCTGACTAAAACTTATTACTGGTGTAATCTAGGTACTGGTCCTTACTCTTCAATGATTGACTTGTGAATTTATCCTGCTAGAGTCCTATTAGCAGTCAGTCATGAGGCTGAATTGCTTGATGGTAATGTCTTTGACTGCAGTACTGTGGCGGAGGGTGGGGGTTGGAGGCTTCAGTTTTTCCGGTGTTGTAGACGCATCTCGGTAAGGAATGCCAATTGCTACCAACCAACTAACAATACCAGTATACAGGAAGTCATGGCCAGCAGGGTAACAGAACAGTTAGTTGTCTATGAAACTGACTAGCGGTTGTGCCATATAAATCGGGTCCCAGTGGTTGGAACGATCCTGTAGCTTCGGTTCAAGCCCTAATGAATGAGTGCCGCCGAAGAGTCCCAAATCACGATGAAACAGCTCTCTAGTACTTACTGATTTTCTAGTGGTTCTCTACATGTTAGCAATCCGTGGTCAGACCTCATACAAATGAAATCCCTACAAACTATCTTTTAACAATAATAATAATAATAGTGGTAGTACTATCTTTGTGTATCAGTATTGTTATTGATTTTATTCCCATTCGGGGGTTCTACTCGAGCGATGACCTGACTGGGATGCGCGATATCATACGACGGTTTCCTCAGTGTGTGCGTCCAATCTATCTTCATTTTCTTCTACTTGTATTTGTGTGATATCAGACACAGATATCGTCTATGAAATCCAAATTTTGAATAGTCTTCATATCAGCTCAGAGTATTTTTGTCTTTTCGCTTCCCCTACATCATTCTGTCCACCACAGTTAGGTATATCATCTATGGGCCAGGTTAAACTTTAAGCACCACTAACTACCAATCAGCGAACGACGTCGAATTATCCAATGAGATTCACGAACGTTAGTTCAATGTCGTATAGCGCTTGATTCATCTCAAATGCGTGCCCTAACAAGGTTACGGTTGCAATTTGAGGAGGACAGTGTTCTCCAGTATTGCCTGGATTTAGGGTTACTCCGGAAGGAGCGGACTTGTTCGTGTGGTGGTGTCATGATTTTAAAAAGCTATAGCAGGTCAACTGATGAGTATGTCCATCGTTGTGCAATATGCTTGAAGTAAATAAGCATTAGAGAGGGTAAGCTGATAATTTTAATATTTCGTAGGAACTTTTTCTGCAAGGTCACACCTCTCCTTGACGCAAATTTTGTATATCTGCAACTACTGGGTATTGAAACAGCCAGTGATAGCCGCAGCTGCTGAGATGGAGAATAGCCTCGTCTCAACAGTTCAATGCTACCAGCATTGCAGAGATATTGCTTCTTGGAAAATGGAGAAAATCAATTCTTTGTTGGGTGGAGAAGAGGTTGTTGTACACGTGGATGAAACTGTATTGGTGAAAAAGAAATACAATCGTGGTCGCCAGCAAGCGAACAATATTTGGGTAATAGGTTTATGTGACACCTCCCTCCGGAAAGGATTCGTCGAAAAAATAGCAGATAGAAAGGTGACTACTTTAATACCTATTGTTACGAGACTTGTAAAACGGGGGTCAATAATACACACGGACGAATGGAAACTTTACGATTCCCTGTCATCTCTAGGATATACTCATCATCGAGTCAACCATTCAAGTGATTTTGTGGATCCCGTTACGAGAACTTATACAAGTTCTATTGAAGGATTTTGGGGCAGGTTGAAAAATAGGATAAGGGCTTTAGATGGATCTCAAAGGGGTCTCATTTAAAATCATTTGGATGAATATATGTACAGAAGGTAGTGTAGCTTTTCTATTGACAGTCCGATGCTTAACTGGGAGATGTTTTTCTTACATGTTAGGGAAAGATACCCCCTGTAACAGTTTTAATCTTTTTTCTTTCTATAAATATACGTTTCCATTTATCATATATGCCTCTTTAATGTGATTGGTCCGTTCAAGGTCGTTTGCTGATTGGTTGTTAGTGGTGTCGAAAGTTTAACTTCGCCCATCTATAATAATACACAGCCTTGCCTTACTTCTATATTCACTTCAAACGCCTCACCTCCTTTTTTTTGTGGATCACCTGACACATGGCATTGTCATACATAGCTGTTGAATGAGGTTGATAAAGATTTGAGTCAACGCTATTGCGAAGGTCTTTTCAAAGTGGATGAACTTGATTTAGGGGGTTTGTTTATTATATAACGCTATGTAAATCCTAGTGCGTCGGTGTCACAGTGGTTAGGACTCTCGCCGACCATGCACATGGTCCGTTTTAACTCTAATATATTATTGATATAGGTATAAAAATTGGGCACTGTGGTGGTAGAGTATAACCCCATTATGGATAGGATTTTTATTTTGATAAATCACACACCCAATTAAACAAAATAATATAATATAATTTACAAAATCCCCTGCAATGACTGTGAGTTCGGTCAACTACATAGGTGAAACTAGTAGGTCGGGGGCAATCAGGTCGTCGGAACATAAGAATTTAGCTAAGGTAAGAATGGTTGACCCCACCCGAGAAGATAAATAATTTAGAAAAAAAAGGTTCAGCAGCTGCACCGCATGCATTGACACATAACCACACAATAGGGTGGGAGAGAGTTAAGATTCCAAGAAGTAATATAAGTAGGTGGAGAAAGCTATTGATTGCTGAATCCTGCCTGGAGCATCGTGGGGTCTAGACCCAACACATGCAACAGAAATGACTCAATGCAAATACCCGATATATCTATGTAAGATATTATTACCACCAGTCAGTCAGTCAAATCAGAAGAGGATAATAAATAATCTGAAAATTCTATTTCAATTCAAGCGCATCACAACATTCTAACAAGTTACTTATTTTGACGATATAAAACACTCGTCTTATTTCCCATCTAGTTGTAATTGATGAATAACACTCATATTATTATTTCTGAATGTACATTATCCTGTATACTGATTTTTATTCAAATATCTAATCGATCCCACCCATGCATATAAATGAAGGAAAAAGTTATGTGAGTAGCTTGATATAATTATGAACAGGAATAGTTTGTCCTTGAAACGTGGTCATCAGTTAATATTACTGTACAACAAACACTGTGTGATATATCAAAATAAAATCTTATCCATAATGGAGTTGACTCAAATGTCTTACAGTAAAGTTTCTCGAAAAACGTTTCAGGCCGTTTGGTATTATATATATATACACGTCATTTATGTATTTATTCTAAAGTCAAAAAATTAAATTTGTTCTTTTTTTGTCATTTTCATTTCAACCAATCTGAATGGCACTCACTCACTCACACGCACACACTCACAAACAAACAATCAAATAGATCAACACCAATTAATCCTCGTCGAAGTGTATCCGCGTGTAGTCTTCCACGTTTTGATATTAGTCCGAATGATGATTTTGTGGACTTAATTTCACATACTACTAATAATAACAACAATAGTAATAGTAATCATTCTACACGATTGTCATCCTCTCTTCACTTGTTCTCACAATTGAATCATACTCATCACAACCAACACGAACAAATTAATCACTCCCTTCCTATGAATGATGGATTAAACACCACTGCCTCCACTGTCGCTACTCCTATTACCACTACTACTACCACTAACTGTAGTAATAAAGACGTCGACAGAAGACTTGTGTGCTGTGATGATGATGACCACCGATCGACAACTCCACCGCCGCCAAAATTACTTTCTTCAACAACAACAACAACTTCATCATGTAATCCTCCTCCTCCACTTCCGCTTGGCGAATTATGCCTATCTCCAAAGTTTTCAACGCATACGAATTGTACAGTGAATCATATTAATAATAATAATAATAATAATAATAATAATAATAATAATAATAATAACAATGGTGAGTATGGTGGCTTCAGTTTTAAAGATTCTGCATCTTCTCCACAAGAATCAATGCAACAAGAATTGGCCACACTGCTTCGAAATTCTCCGGCATCTGGAGTAAGTATATCAGTTGTTATTATGATTATTATTATCCTCATCATTATTACCATTATTAGTAATATTGTAACAACAGAAGAAAAGGGCTGGCAACAAATCGTTTTGTTACGGAAATCAGCATATAAATATATATATATTTCATGTACATTATTATAGCTTATTCAACCAAACAAACTCAGTCTTCTGATTGGTTGTTTTTTGCTCAAGGTTATTCTGTACTGCTTGTGTACTGCTTGTTTCTCAGAAAGTTAAGCCATCTGTCTGCGAATCTTATTTGGCCACGTTAAATCTGCTGTGATTGGTTGTTGAATCAGTCTTGTTCACATAATTTCTCACGATCAGTATTAGCGACTTAGACATTGACGTAAATTAGTGTGTCTACCAATTGGCTAGCAGCCTGCTCTCACCACAATATTACTCCTTTGAGTTCCCATTGGAGGAATATAAGGGGCTTCAACGCCCCCCTTTTCTATTTGCATCCTGTTGCCTTCAATTATCTTTACCTGGCTTCATGATAGTCTCTCGTTTTCTTCTCCTTTCACGCTTATCTCTTTGTTTTGCATTTGGAATCTATTCTAGGGTTTTTGTCTCAGGCGTCGTAGTGTCATTCAGCAGTCTCCTCAGCGTGTCTATTATCCAATCCATCTTCATTTTTTCGTCGACATATTTTTTTGATTCTTTGTCTATCAGAGTTCCTACTTACTTTTACTTTACTTTACATCGGCTATCTCCTACGGGAGGATGAGCCGGCTTCATGAACCATGAAGTTTCATGGGAATTGGGTACGAGTGATGTCCCCAGAATCGCTCGGCCTTTTGTTTGAGAGTGCAGCTCTAGCCTTTACACAACCAAGTGTGACCTACAAGGCAGTAGGAGTGAAGTAGGGAGTCCACTATCCATTGTCAGCCGGTGACCGGAGTCCGGTTCATTCGCCTTTTTGAATGGGGCCAATCATCCAGGGCATCCAATAAGCCCTTTGTCCATACGTCTGCCGGTGAGCTCCGGTGAGCTTCATACGCCAGTCGTTGGAAGTTTGGAATCAGGGTTTAGCCATCTCCCCTAGACTGTCATCCAATGGGCAGTCAACCCGGTGAAGAGCGCCGGGCATCCGCTTTTGCCCTCTCACTTTGGTGAAAAACACCTCCGCCACGTGAAGGCAGTAAGTAGGACTTCCTCAGGAGAGGCTATGTAAGACGCCCGGTCATATGGGAGCATTTCAAGAGGTGTACGGAGGGGTGGCCAACCTGCAGCGCAAGACACCCACCCCCGACCATCCTGAGGCTTTGGAGGCAGAGTTCCGTATTGTCCTTTCTATCCTTTCTAGCCTGGTCATATTGTGTAACAACAGAAGACAAAGGCCAGGCAAAAGACCGTTTATTTTAGGAAATCAACACATATTTATAGATTTTCATGTACTGTTAGCAGACAAAACACAGTCTTGTGATTGGTGGTTGTTTCTCACTCGCTGAAAGTTAATCTTTCATCTCTTTATGACTGTTTCTTGAAGTTCAGATCATCTATATGTTAACTATATCCGCCTATGCAAAGTTTGCTGTGATTAGTTGTTGAGTCAGTCAGTCTTTGCTCTTGTTTTCACATGACCAATATTTGGGACGTAAACATTGACGTAAATTAATGTCTACCAATTTGGCTAGCAGCCAGCTCTCGCAACAATATGATCTTCCATATATTTGAAATGAAGTCTGAAGCTTGTTCGTAGTGATGCTCCTTTTCAATTCACGAATAATCCTTTATTCAAATATAAATCATTTTTTTTAAAATTCCTTTACGTTCCCAGTGGAAAATGGAGGGGGGGGTCTTCAAGCTAGAGGCCTAAAGTTTCGGTAGCAGTGGTGTTTCATTTTTTACGTAATGGGGTTACTGCTAGCCTCATGACTAACCTCCCCTCTTTACTAGTTTTATTACTGGCTTAACGAGGTAAAGGAGTGCGTCAATGGCCGGCGATTGAACGCTGAACCACATAAGGCGTGGTCGGAAAGCATTCTGCCGCTGTGCCCACCAACGCACGCATGAAAGAAATGAAATATGTAGCTCAGTAAAGAGGCTTATTTTGGCGACGAATACATCCTCCTCTCTAGCTGCAGAATCTCCTTTATATACACAATTTCTTTTCATGTACTTGGGGGGGGGCAGTAACAAAAGGGATGAGTTATCACAAAAACATAGTTGTTAATGTCCATCAGTACATAAAAGAAGTTGAATAATAAGACGAATAATTTAATGAATGTGTTGTGATGAGGATGCACATGGAAACGAAGGAAAGTGTACGGAATTATATAAGAGTTTTAAAGAAATACAAGAGTTACAAGGTGTTATAAAAACAAGCAAACAAGAATTAAGCCAGTAGAAATCGATAAGGTTGTTACCATGAAGTGGTTGAATGATTTTCTTTTATATGCATGACTCTGGTTTTTCTAATTGAATGACTAAGGCGTCAACCAATGCAAAGGAGACGAAAGCGTATTGACTTTGTGGCGCAGGTTGTTATTCTTCACTGTGTAGATTACTTTGAAGGAGGAGAGGGCGTTTGTTGAGATGGAATGGCGACCAGTGTCGTTTGACAAGATTTTGCATCATCACACTCCTTATACCCCAGCCACCATTCTAACCTTTTTGCAGCCGTGCGGGATAGTGTTGTTGAGCCTTTTTGGACAGGATACGTACGCGTCGAATGACCAATATACCTGGCTTCTCAGCAACAGATGAACTGATATATGCACATAGAAGTGGTCATATGCCGGATCTTATCCTTAAGGCTTCTGCAGACACAATGGACGACTGACGGAAGACTACTCTTAGCTACATGTTGTAGCGAAGAGTGTTCTTTTCAAAGATGCTGAAATTCTTCTTTTCAGGATATTGCAAGCTAAATCTCCTTTGGAACCCAGATTCATGTAAAGTATCGTTTTTTTGAAACAAGTTATGGTTTGTTCTTCTCTCCGCCTTTGGTTTAATATTCTTGTCGATGAATTTTGGCGGGGTACCTATTTTGGATAAAGGTTTCTTTCAGAATATCTTTTCTTCACATATGCATGCATTTATGTATGATCTATTTATATATGTATTTATTTATGTATTTATGATTGACCCGGCATTTGGTTTAGAAAATCTAACCAACCTTGTTCTCCTCTATTTGCTTCTGTGTACAGTAGATTTCCAGACTGATATTGGTCGAGAGTAACGAAGGTCTGTCTGTCTGTCTATCTATCTGGCTGGCTTTGACATCTTCATCCATACCACCACCCGCAGTTGATGAAAACGATGCTGCACTAGATTATTATTATTATTGTTCACTTGGGTTCCTAGTCGAACATAGGACTTCGACTGCACGTCTCCACTTGCCACTTCTGTCTTTTTCTGTACTTTTTACCTGCATCCATGCTAGTCCATACTATCTCAACTCCTCTCCAGACGATCTCCTCCATGTCACCCACCCTTGCACTGATGACCCACTCACCGCTTCTCTTTTCGGTCTGGTTCCACTTGGGCAATGGCCTTATGCGCGCGCGATGTCACCAACCGGCCTCCTCAGAGAGTAGTGTCCAATCCACTCTTCTGTCCACTTTCTCCTGCATATTTCTTGGTTGGCGATTGGTTTGGTCTTGTTTTGTTTGTTTGTTCCCATAGTTTCCAATAGTTGGTGATTCTTTCCGGTCCGGCCCATCTGATTGATCTTCAGTACAGATCCAGCGAAGACAGTTGTTGTTGTTGCTGTTGATGAAGGTGTGCAGCAGGCTGTTGGTGGAAATATTCTTTGTTACCCATTCGCCAAGTTTCTGATCCGTTCCGTATAGAAGAACTGATTGACTTGACGTTGTTTGTATTGAATTGAATCCGATCGAATTTTGTTGTTGATTCTGGCTGAGTGACGAAGATTTCCAGATCAGATTGGTTTCAGGTTGATGAGTGAATGTGTTTCTCGCTCACCTTCCGGATTCTCGCTCGATTTGACATCCAGATTTCGTTCCGACTGTCTGTAGTTGAGACAATGCTCAATTCTAGATAAGTGAATGAATGAAGTAACCTCTTCCAAATCTCTCCCGTTGATGGTGATTGGCACTATATAATAAGTTAAAAAGGAGGATTCTCTTCGTCATATCGTTTATCTCTTTTAAGCACCATCATCATCATCTCTGTAGTGTAAAAATATTTTTCTCCTAATTGTTTTGTATGTACATAGATGTACTTGTGTATGTGCTTGTGTGTGTGTGTTTTGTGGATTTCAGTTTTTTACTCCTACAGTACGTCCAACGTGTGTGTATCTACGTGGGAATTATACATGTGTGTGTGTGTACAAGTAATAATGGTTAACCTTAACAGGATGTCTGCACCGTGTCTATGCCTCTGCACAGATGTGTGTGTGTGTGTAATGTGATTTGTTGTTTTTTTCGTCTGTTGTAAAATATTCGATCGATGCGAGTATATTTGTCTGTTGTTGTTGTTTAAGCTAAGAAGCTAAAATGCGCGCGCACATACCAATTGGTAATAATGATAATTATTATATGGTGTAGGAACTATTTTTTTTTGTTTTTGCTGAAATAACGTTTAATACTTTAAAAGACGTCATCTGTCTTCAACTGCTGCTTCTGGGAGCACAGATGTGGGTAGGCGTCAAATCCATCCAGTCTGAATTGGAAAAGCAAGACAAACTCCACCGTGATTATTCTGAAATCAACTTGCTCAAATCTACTGTACTCAGAATAAGGAACAAGATTCGGATTTCTAGCATTTTAATGTCAAGACAAATCAGAAATGGTGTGTGGGCGTGTGTCACGAAGGTTTTCTCTAATGTGATCTAATGGATTGCGAGCAATACGAATCTAATGCTTTAGCGGAAATTACTCTAATCACCAGTCCCATCAACAACGATATCACTGGCACAGGGGAAGCAGAAGAAGAAGAGAAGACGGACTGTTGACGAAAGCAGCTTTTTACTGTCTCAAATAACAGTCAACACACGCACACACAGTTGGTAGGGA